TTAGTTGTATCCATGAGTAAAGCAAATAGACTATCAGTTGAATGGAAAGGTACACGGAAGTTTGAGAGAAATTATCCGAAACTAATTACGTTGTGAGTTTCGAAGGAAAACAAAACCATAATCAAGTCTACCATGTTAAAACCTTATCACAGGCGATCACCAACCTTATGATTACAGAAAATCAACCTGAAAATGATAATATGGAGGAGAATTTCCAAACAATTGACTCCAAAGCAAAATTGTTCAATTTTGAGGAAATTAAGGAAAACAGTTCCTAGAATAATAAGTTAAATGAAAAACAAATTTAATAATTACATGATCTGCTATTGAAATTTTCATAAATTTTCTCTAATAAGCCTGGAAAAATGCATTTAATAACGCACGATAGTCAACTGACAAAAAACACACCAATCCACTGTAAATTATACAGAATTCCGCCTAGACAAACAGATATATTAAAAACAGAAATTGATAAAATGCTTCAACATCACTATTCTTCCTCTTGACTAATATTGAACAAGTTGAAAGTGAAGCAGCAGCGAAATATACAACTCTTTTGGATTTAACCCTGCAATGGAGGAGCCGGCGTACAGAGTACGCCAATAGCATCTTTCGAGCTGTAATTTTTAGACAACGTCTTCCTGAGCTTCCTCTCTTCCTCTACCCTCCTAGAAACATTCCATGAGTGCAATGTATCTGGTATTTCTGGTCAGTCTGGTTTTCGCCTTCCTTCCGAAAGCAGTTATTGTGAAAAATGTAGGCGAACGCAGTATGCCACTCCTCCAAGTATGGTCAGAATGAATATTGTACCTCTTGAAGATTATTTGGCATTTTAGAAAGTCTCGGTTGATGAAAACTCCGACAATTTGGATAACATGTAGATGAATCAGAAGTCATCGAACATTCTGATCATGAAAGTGACTCAAAAATTGAGAGACATGTTTCTAAACATCCTCATTTTCCTTCCTCAAATGATGTTTCCCCAACAAATGGCAATTTTAGCGATGTTGAAAATGACACGAGTGATTTAAAATATGAGGACTTTTTTGTAAAAACAATTTACAAAAAGAAGAAAGTTGGAGGAAAGTTTCTGAAAGAAGAAGAGGAAACTTATAAGTGGAATAAAGTTCCCCTTAAGAGCAAATTCACCAGAACGCCTCAAAAAAATTTGATGGAAAAAATATTCCCAAGTGTAAACAATTGTGACGATATAAATGATGAGCTTTCTGCGTTCAAGAAAATCATAAATACAAATATGATTGATGCTATTGTACAATATACAAATATTTATCTCAAATGTAACAGGATTGCAGATTATCTCCAAAACTCCAAAGAGAAGCCCGTATGATACTAATAGAGCAGAAATGTTAGCCTTTTTAGGAATTTTATTCTTATTCGGGTACAAAAAAATGTCAAAACTCAATTTGGAGGAAGCATGGGCAAAAGACAGTACTGGAATTGAAATTTTGCAAGGGGTCATGAGTCTCAAGCGATTCAGAAACCTGTGTGCTGCTATTTGATTTGACGATAAAGGCACAAGGTATGTGAACTCATAAGCTTGCTGCACTAAGAGAATTTTTTGAATCTTTCAATCAGAACTGTCAAAACTTTTATACACCAGGTGATGAACTCACAATCGACGAGAAGTTGGAACCTCTTCGCGGGAGATGCTCTCTTACTTCAATTCATCCCCAACAAGCCTGCAAAGTACGTTCAGAAAATTTTTGCAGTTGTTGACTCACGAACGTTTTGGACATTGAAGCTTGAAATTTATTGTGGCATTCAACCCCTGGGACTTTACCAGGCTTCTAAATCAAGTATTGACTTTTCCAAAAGGCTAATTGGTGCATACGAAGGTTCCAACCGAACCTGACAACAAATAATTGGTATACAAACCACCCACTAGCTCAATATCTTTTTACCAAAGGTAATAACACTTGTGGGTACTCTGGAAAAAATAAAAAGGAAATTCCAAATGAATTCCAGCCATCAAAAACAAGAGAAGTCAGCAGTTCGCTGTTTGGTTTTTCCAAAGGATATGACAATTGTTTCATGTGCAACGAAAAAAAAATAAGTGTGTAATACTGCTCAGTACTTTACACGATGATGGCAAAATTGACCAGGAAACAAATAAACCTCACATAATCCGGGATTAAAACAAATGTAAAGGCAGAGTTGACACCGTAGACCAACTTTGTAGTAATTTCACTGTCACCCGAAAAACCAAAAAGGTAGACAATGAAAATATTTTTTGCACTGCTAAACGTAGCGGGCATAAATTCGCAAGTGCTCTTGAACTTCGCCAAACCTGATGCAACCATCAAGTTTAGAAGATATTTTTTGAAAAATCTAGCTACATCTTTGATGAAACCACATCTTCAGAATGGTCTGAAAATGCCATTTCTCCTGTCGCATTCCAAAGCTATTATTTAAGAGGCTGGTAACAACAGAAGCGGACAAGACAGCCGAAAGGGACGAGGAACCACCTGCAAAAAAGATCAAAGGAGGCTGCGCTGAGTGCAGTAGAATAAATAATTACTCTACCATAAAATGTTCCGAGTATTATAAGTTTACCTGCAAAAATCATCTGGGCAAGACAGTACAACTTTGCAAACCCTGCTGCAGTGAACATGGACAAACTGAAGAGATTTAATGTAGCAAAAGATTTTTAATTTTTCATTTGTGAAAATTTATTACTTACCAAACTTTTCTTTACGGAATATTTATCATTTGTAAATTTGATTTATGATCTTATAATTTTCATACAGAAAATAATACAGAATACTATATAACTTTAAATTACATTTCCAGCGCATTCCATTTTTTGAATTAATTAAAAATTCGTAATTTCCATCTTCACTGCTTTTTTCTGTTATTCTTTTTCTTATATCATTTTTACTATGACGAATCACCTTATTAATGCCATGTATAAGATTAAATAGTTTCAAACATGAAGCAGAGGCTCGAAAAACGACCCCTCTAAAACTGTACCATATGCCAGCCCCTCCAGCTGAGGGTTAACAAAGAGATACTGGCAAATACCATTAACACCTAATGCCCAAAGATTAGCCACTTTTGTTAAAAGCTTTGGCACATTTAGACTCCACAGATGGCTTTCGGACTTAAAAATGCACCTTTATTTAAGGAAATGACGGGCAAAATCCTTTATGGTTGTGAAAACTTTGCTGTTCCATATGTGGCAATCTTTTCAAACACATGGGAAGAACATCTAAGTCATCTGAAAGTCACTTTGACAAAAATAAAGGATGTTGGTTTAACCATTAAACCTATAAAATGTAAATTTACTCAAAATAGAGTAAACTATCTAAGACATATTGTAGGTCATGGTATAAGAATGCCAAGTGAAGTCAAATTAAAAGTTGTTCTTGATTTTCCCGTGCCATCCACAAAAAGTCAAGTCAGAGCATTTTTAGGATTAGCAGGATATTATAATCATTACATTCCCATGCTTTCATCTATATCAGCACCTTTAACTGAAACTTTGAAAGGAAACTTAAAGAAATGCAAAATAAATTAGACAGAAGAGTGCACAAAAGTATTTGAAGAGCTAAAGGAAAAACTGATACAAAAGCCTAAACTACATGCACCTGATTTCAATATGGAGTTTATTTTGCAAACTGATGCTTAAACTCTGGTACGGGTGTTATTTTAGCTCATATGAACAAGACAATGAACATCCAGTATTATATCTCAGAAGTTTACAGAAACTGGAAAAAGTACTCTACCACAGAAAAAGGAATGTGCCACCATAATATTCGCTGTAAAGAAATTGCAATGTTATTTAGATGGGCAAACGAAATTCCTCATCATGACTGATCATAATACCTTAGTTTAGCTAAAAAATAATGTGAGTCTTAATCTGAGACTTATGAGATGGGCACTTACAACCCTACATGCCCACCAGCGGCCAAGCGGTAAAGTCGCTGAACACTGGTAGTTTGGTACGAGGTTCGAATCCCGCAAATGGGCTGGCTGCATGAGCGTTTTCGTGGTTTTCCCCATGTGTATCGTGTATACGAGCCAGTTTCCCTAAGAAAGTCCTCCACGAAGGTATCCGTCCTCTTACGCAAATAGCCCTTGAGGCTTTGCTATAATCACACACACATATAACCCTACAATCAATTACACAGTCATTCGTTGAAGTGGTAAAACCATAAAAATGCAGACGCATTAAGTTGTACTCCCTAACATGATTAAAGAATTTGTTTCTCTATATAGATAAAAAAATATTTTGTTCTTTCCTCTCTTTTTGACAGTATGTTATTATATGTTGTATTTCAATTATGGATATGATATTGTGTTGTTCTGAAAGAAAAAAAATTGTAAACTTTAATTTATAAAAATATCAATTAAAGTTTATCTGGAGGGGGAACAGGTTGTAATATTTTATTATTTAATAAATAATTACATTTATTGTCCTTGACACTGGGGTGGCAATGCCATATTTGTGTCGTGTAACTATTGCTGAGCAACGTTAGAAAATGTTCAAAAAATGTAATTCCGAAAGTTTTACCAGTAGTTGATGTATGAAAAATTTGTAGGGAAACAAACTGTAATAGTAAGCTGGAGTGTGAAGCTGTAACAGATAGAATTTTATTTAAATTATCTATCTTCATGAATTGAGAATACAATTTATGTTTTACTAGGAAGCTATCTGTTATTTTGATAAAACTACAAAATACATTATAGTATTTAAAATGAAAGCATGAAAATGGCACCTATGACTATATGATAGTCATGTTAAACTTTAATTGCATTACCTCCCAATATAAGATTGATAATGAAGAAAAGAAAAAAAAAAAAAAAAAAAAAAAAGAGTACATTTTAATATTTTTACCCCTCAATGCTGATAATAAAATTTAGAGCTTCCTCCTCAGATTTTTGATTTAAGAGCTCATACTTTAAAATAATGTAATAAAAATTGCCATTGCCAAGAAGTAATTAAATGCTTTGAAAACTGATTAAAATGCATATATTACCTCCATGATGATGAGAAATACTACCTCCACTAGCAATAATTTCATCTCGTGCAGCAGTCTGAAATATAAAAACATACATATTGTATAAGAACAATTACAAAAGGAACTGCAGAACATTGCTATCTATATAAACAAGGTGAAACTGGGAGGTTTTCACGCTAGGGTCTAGGACTTTTCGTCATTGCCATTTCACCGTGGAGATGTTTCGCCATCAAGACATATTTTTCTTTACATGACTGTATTATATCTTGCCATATTACATTCCTATTAAATTTATCTAGTTTAATAATTCTGTTTACCTTTTGTATACTTAATAAAGGTTGCTTGTAATATATATAGTTATTTACAAGTAACAGATATAAAGAAAATACACATAGTTGGGAGATTATGTTAGTATCAAAGAGAACTGGGGCTAAACTTCTGATATAAAATAAGTTATATTATCGATTTTAAAATTATGCAGGTACAATATTTATATAATTAGCGAAAATTTCTTGAAATTTTAATCGGCTAGTTCAGAGAAATCACTCATACAAGCAGGAAATTCACATTTTTATAAAACCTGAATGCAAAACGGAATTACTTTGGAATTTTGTCAGCACATTACTATCTTAAAATTAAAAAGTCATTTGTAACAGTATATTTGTATAATAGTCCCATTTCCTTCACGCTACTATGTATTTCATTTTTAAGGCTGAATTTTGAAAATTGAAAAAATATTTGTACATTTTTCACTTTTCTTCAATACTTTTAGAAAACAAACTCCTCAAATTTTAAAATGGATACATTCACATAGTGATTGTTTTTATCTTAGTAACAAGGACAGACCCTTGCAAACTATCTGGGTAGGCTTACACCAAACTTTTTCTTTCTAACTGTTAAACTTTATACCAACCTAATACGAGAACCAACCTATTACGGCAAAGCCACCAACAGGAACCGATATGGAATCTGAGATTTCACAAGTCAGCTGCATATTCACACTATCTAACTATTTATGGATGATATGAGGTCTAAGGAGTAACAGAGACAGCAATAAGAGGATTCAAGTTACTGAGAAGTAGAAATGAAGATATCGTTGCATATGTATGGGTTCCTAATGCATTGAATGCACACAGAAGTGATGATAGCTGGAAAAAAATTATCAAAGTATTATTTTTCACAGTTCTAAAACTTTTCACAAAAATACGCGGACAGCTCTTCTCAGTATCACACAGTACAATTAGCAGTTACACTTCAAACTACTAACAGCATTAAACACAATGCAATACGAAGCAGACCTAAAGAGCGAATCTCACACGGATTGCAATAGTCAACTCTGAACTAATAACTACTGAGAAACTGATGCTCTGTATGTTTTATCTAGTTTTTCCTAGCTGCTGAGAAATCTCTAGCACCTTCCACTTTTCGAAACTACTGGAAGGTATATGAGGTCCATATACAGTTACAGTTATTCAATTACAATACCCATTCCAGTTATACAGGGATCAAACCAAAATGTTGCTAAATTTGGCCACTTTTGACGATATCTCACCAAATTTGGCAACAAAAATTAGTCGTGCAAACCATCACCAGCTTTAGCAAGATAGCCATTTACTCAATGCTAAATAGACTAGGCCCTGTATTCTTATTTTCCTGGCAGAGCATCTTCTCTTTAAAGCATTTCATGCTACATTATATGTGTGTGTGTGTGTATATATATATATATATATATATATATATATGAAATGTAATTTCTCATACATTATTTGCTTTGTGCAGCCGGGGCAACAGGAATGAGACAAATTTTGGAATATAAAGTGGTAGGTTTATTTTAGCATCCATCTCACAAGCGTTCTCCTCGTACCTTGAGCAGAAGCCCTACTTATACATATGTGTACGTCACGAGGCTCCTCCAATCAGCGATATTAATTGAAATCACGAGGTGACGCTATCTTCTCATCAGGAGTGTTCTTAAGTACTTTATGTAATATGACAGATTTATGAGTTTGGCGATTTGGCGGGCGCCAACAGGTTAATATATTTTATACTAAAGAAAGGATTTCGCCAAAATTTAGGAACAGGGATGCAATTTAGGTAGAGAATCGCCAACACATTATTAAGCAATATTAATAGAATTTAATTTAATCAATTGATTTAAAAATATCATTACAGATTATCCCCCCCCCATCTGAAAAGGCTTGCAGTCGCGGCCGTCGACCCAAGACAGTCCAGATAGTGAGAGCAGAAAATTTAGTTATTAGGAAATTAAGTGAGTAGGAAAACTGATTGGATTTACCTCAAGGCACACAAAATGTTTACATAAAATATGACATAAAATATTTGAATATAATTAATACAGTATATAAAATATAATAAATGATTAATGAAATTATAATATAGTAACTAAGTGCAGAACAAATAAAGCACTAATAACATATTGCTGGTTAGCTACGCGGCAATAGGAAATAGTAATATAACTGAATTTGTAAGTTTATATCTTAGGGCATGCCATTCACAGTTTGTGTATGAGTCCGTACAATCATTAGAGTTGTCATTCAGGCTCATCTTCAGTCTTTTACTGGTCTTTGGAGATCTCCGGATCATTTAATTAGCGCTAGAATTATGGATTAGCATTGGCACTGAAAACATTTGAGTTTTTATGTCACGATACTAGAGCTCTTATACTCTTGTTGAAAATACACATTTTGCTAGGTTTTTAACATATTTTGTCACTCTATTTTTCTCTTATTAATGATAACAAAACAAAATTTAACTTCCAACATCCATACCAGTTTTTTGTACACGATGCTGCAGAAACATAAAATGAAATTCAGAAGTTTCAACAACTGAAATTTAACTTTTTCAACTGTTGCTACAATTTATAACACAAACATAGGAAAACATGAGCTCAAGGAAATGTGAGGGTATAGTACTCTACTTGTAGTATAGCCTCAATTGAGTGTTTCCCACACGGAAAGTGCATTGAACCTGAAACTCAAGTTTGAAGGAGCCCAGTAAAAGAAAAGGGCAGACAAACTTTTCAGATACTGAGAGATAAATCAACTATTAAGGGGGACAACAGGATGAAAAACTAAAAGAAGGGTTATGGATAGTTTATTGATTTATAAATTTTGATTTATTCATAATGTAATTTAAAGTTCTCGGGTGGATAATAGAACCTTAATTTTGACGCATGTACAATCTCAGTTGGTTTCTTCGTGTGAAAATTTTCCCTGTCGATTTCATAATTAACTTCAGATAATTTATTCATAATCTGATAAGGGCCTGAATAGGGTGAAGTCAATTTTCTAGTATTTGGGTATTCGAAATTCCTCGTAAAGGACAAAATCTCCAGGTTGAAATTTAGATTCTACAAATCTGATGTCATATCTAGTTTTATTCTTTCGGTGGTATTCGATAGTTCTTTTCTTTGCTAAAGCCCTTGCTTCATTTAAGGAAGGGTATTTATTTTGATCAATTGGAGATTCAAAAGGGAGGTTACCAAATAGTAAGTATGCTGGGGTGAACTTAGTTACCGTATGAGGGGAGTTGTTATATTCGATAACAACTTGCTCTAGCACTTTAGTCCATGGTACTTTTTTAGAAGAAGAATTTACTTTACATTTTAGTCGACTTACTATTGATTGATTTACTCTTTCTACTTTACCATTTGTCTGGGGATGGTGAGATGAAGTTAAAAGTTGTTTAACATTATGCTTTTTAAGAAATTTTTTGAATCTAGAGGAAGTGAAGGCTGCATTCCTGTCACTCAGAATTTTTTCGGGGACTTGTATTTGAAATATTTGTTTTAGACAATTGGCATAGGTTTCTGAAGTTACACTTTTAGAGGGAAAAGCCCAGACATATCTTGTTGCATGGTCAATAACTATATGTAAATATTTTTTGTAGAATTATAATAATTAAATCCTCCCACAGTGTCAATAGAGAGACATTCGAAAGGTTTGTCGGTTGGGGGTACGTCTTGCATAAGACCAAATTTTTTCTGTTTTTTCTTTTTATTAAGTTGACAAGTATGACAATGTTTAACAAAATTTCCGATATCTTCACTAATATGAGGCCAATAATATTGAGGGGGTGATTAAGTTAAGCATAATTTGAACTCCCGGGTGACCAAAATTTTCATGGGTTTTATTCAACAATTTTAATCTTAAAGATTTAGGTACTACAATTTTATAAAAATTCTTTTTTCTTAATTACCATCATATCATTTATCTCTTGGTAATTTTTTCCGCAGACATTATCAGTTTTTTGTTGTTGGATTATTTCATTTCTATCAAGTAAATGTACATAATGTTGGAGGTGCTGTGAAACAGGATGTCTAGAAAGCATGTCAGCTTCAATATTGGTAGAGCCCTTCTGATACTTTTACTTCATAATTGAACATACTTAGTTTGAGTGACCAACGGAAGAGTCTACCTTTTAAATTTTTAACATTTTTGAGCCAAACGAGGGCCGCATGGTCCGTATGTATAACAAATTTTTGTCCATGCAGATAGTAATAGAATTTGTCTAGGGCATCTACTATGGCCAAACATTCTAACTCAGTAATCGTATAATTTTTCTCATAATTTCTTAAAGTTCGGGAATGATATGATACAGGGTGAAGGACATCATTTTTCATCTGGTTGTTTCAAAACAGCTCCAACAGCAGTTTGAGAAGCGTCAACAAAAATATGACATGGCCTACTGGAATCATACAATTGTAAAACAGGTTTGGAAATCAGTATTCTTTTCATTTCGTCGAAAGCTTTTTGACATTGGTCATCCCATTCCCACTTGACATCTTTTTTCAAGAGTCTGTTTAATGGAGCTCTAATAGTTGCATAATTCGGAATGAATCTATGATACACATTCACACTTCCCAAAACTCTTTGTAACTCTTTGGTGTTACTGGGGTTTTTAAGTTTCTTAATAACTTCTATATTATGGTTATCGGGAATTATTCTACCATTTTTTATTTCATAGCCAAGAAATGTGATCTGATCTCTGGCGAACACACACTTGTTTCGATTCAATTTAATATGCTCCTCTTTAAACACCTCAAATAAAATTTTT